TGTCCGGTAGTCCTCAAATAACATTATAGTCCCGTCTCGTCTTGTTAACGAAGACGCGGCATAAATTTCGTCATAGTTTTTGTCATCAGATATTAGTTTTAGCTCGTCAACGTCTTGTCTTAGTCACAGAAAAAATATTTGTTAACGAATATTTTTCATCGTCGTCTTTGTTGACGAAATTAACACTGTACAGTAACTCTCTGTTTTGGCGCAGACCCACCAAAGCTCTTAATTGCTTGCAACTAGTTCAAAACTCTGCTGCTCGTGCCCTTACATTTAACAAGAAATCAGCTCACATCACTCCCGTCCTTCAGCACTGCACTGGCTCCTATTCTGTCTTGTCCTAGTTTTTAAGCCTACCATTTAGCACCTTCATATCTTACAGAATTAATACACCCTTACGTTCCTGCCCGCACTCTTAGATCCAGTTCTGAGAATTTGCTTGAAATACCCAAGATCAAACTGTTGGTAGGGTGTTCAGCATTTCAGCTCCTAAACAGAACATTTCTGCACTGTCTCCTCACTCCTGACCTTTAAGACTGAACTAAATATTCACTTATTCACAATATGTTTTAATTGATTGTTTCTTTTCATTGTCAGATCTATTCTTATCTCGGTTATTTCCTTGTGTGTTATATGATCACCGTCTTACTGCCTGTTCACTGTGTTGTTCCTTGATTGTATATCTGTATTATTTGTATTATGTAAAGTGTCCTTGGGTTCTTGAAGGCACTATAGAAATAAGATGTATTATTAAACTTTTATTTACTAGTGTTATTTGACTCTACAGAGCAGCCGGGAGCACCGACCGATCTGGAGCTAACGGATCCAGGAGCGAGAAGCATTCAGCTCACCTGGACACCTGGAGAGGAACACAACAGCCCTATCAAGAGTACGACACACACACACACACCTGTGTGCATGCTTTTAAAGATCTCTGCATTTCTGTTGGGTGTAAGGATGCTTTCTGAATGACCTTGTGTTCTTGCCGTGTCAGAGTTCCTGATCCAGTATGAGGACGCTCTCCACCAGAGCGGCGTGTGGCACAACCTGACGGAGGTTCCTGGAACCAAGACCACGGCTCATCTGAAGCTCTCTCCGTACGTCCACTACAGCTTCAGAGTGCTGGCGCTCAATGACGTGGGCTTCAGCCATCCCAGCATGCCCTCGCACCAGTACAGGACCAGCCCCGCAGGTAAGGCACATGAGTGTTCACGCTCACACGTGTGTTCACGCATATCCGCTCGTCTCTAACGCGCCTCTAATGCCTGCAGCTCCTGACGAGAACCCTACTGAGGTCAAAGGTCACGGCACCGAACACAATAATCTGGTCATCACGTGGAAGGTGAGATGCTGATTATTAAAGTGCCCCTATTATGGGTAATGAAAGGTTCATATTTTGGTTTTGGGAGTCCCCAACAACAGGTTGACATGCATGCAAGGTCAAAAAACACATTCATTGACTTATAATATGCATTTATTTTTACCTTACTTGCTCAACGACTCCCAAACGATTCGCTCAATGATTCATTTTTCCAAACCCTTCCTTTGCGTGACGCTAATCTGCGGTGATTGGTCTGATTGGTCTCATTTTCATTTCATCACGCCTGTAATGCCTGATAAAGCAGTGTTTGTGAGCGCAGTGCTGCTTTGTGTACAGTGTTACCGGGGAAACCGCTATTTTTACCGACCGCTCTAAGGCACCTAGTGGCAAAGAATGAATTTGCAGTGTTTACCATACATTGATTTATTTGTGGCGGCCCTCCACAATATCCACATTGACCGCCACAAATATCCACCGCCCCCCTGCCATCAGCTCCTGTGTCTCACACACACGAGCGTGACTTTAGCACTATATTTAGCAAATTTCAGACCCTTTTAGCAACCAGTTCCATAAAAGGTACATACTGACAAACATATCAACATTTTTGGATAAACCTTAGCTATCATTCAGCTGGAAGATTTCGTCAGTACTGCCCCGCAAGCGTGAACTTTTTTTCCTAGCGCAGTATCGCCTCTCTCTGTGTCTGTTCTGTGCAGTGAGCCGCAGCAGAGAAGCAGCGCATTAAGTTGGCTGTACTGCAGCCGACTCGTCAATAAATGGGTATAAAGCAGTGTTTCCAAGCACCTGTCGCTTACTCTTTGGGCTTATAAATATGAACATATTTCGTCTGTTAATATGCACATAGTGTAACATAGCACACAGAGCGCTGCATGAGACAAAAAAGTAATATAGCCAAAACCACCGCAAATAGTCGTTCTTTAGTGTAGATGTATGTTGATTTAATCAGATGATGTCGCGATCAGGATTTAAAGAGTAAAGTGAGAGCGAATCCTGGTTAACATGTAGTATTAATGGGTCGTGTTTAGTCACTATTTATACTTGTTTTATGTATGACAACAGAAAATATGTAAATGGGAACAGCTTTATTGGGCATTCAGTTGTATTACAGTATGTGACAGTTCAGAGAGTAGAACAGATCTGAAGTGCCTTAACTTGTCTGAATGCAAACCCGACGTAATGACGTCATAAATATGCTAATTAATATGTGACATCACCTGCCGCCACAAGTCTCACAAAATTCTGTGGGAAACACTGATTTGCATTTTCATTCAGACCAATGCGAAAAGACCAAAAAGTGGGCGGGCAATATGCTAATGTTTCATGTTGACATCAACATGAAACGGCTTGGGATTCATTTAAAAAAAGTCTTGTTTCAATGATTCAGAGTCGACTCTTTCTTTTGAGAGACAATAACTTTATACACGGTGCACTTTCATATTTAAAACTTTGCAGGATGTTTTCATTCACTTAGAGCTGTTACACATGGCATGAAAGGTAATTTTCAAAAATCCATAATAGGGGCACCTTAATAAACACCTCATATGAAGCTATTTATGATGTTAACCCATTATGGAGCTTATAATATGACAAAACTATTTGAATTTGTATTGTATAAATTTGAATAATTGACAAGTTGCATTTATCAAAACTGAATATTATGTGGCATTTAACATAGTTCTGAATTTGATTTTTTTTTTTACTTGAATATTGAACATTTGAAACTTGACACAGCTGATTTTTTTATAGCAGAGTTTTATAGACATGTATTTTCAAACAGCGATTTTTTTTGTTCTGAATTCTTTGGCTGCAAATATCCAGTTTTTAAAAATATCAAGTTTTCAAGATGAAGAGGAAATTCGGAACATCAAATTCAATATTCTAAAATTCAATACGCAGAAATTCAGATCGTACAGAAAGTAGGTCAATCATATGTTTAAGAATCACTTAGGATACCTCTGGGCGATTCATGATCAGGTAGATCAACCTGATCTGAACGCCAGAAAACTACTAATTGGCCAAAATGCTTCGTTTGACTTTTCGGAGATCATCTGCTCTTCCCTGTGGATTACCTCTGACCTACTTTCTGTACGATCTGAATTTCTGCGTATTGAATTTTAGAATATTGAATTTGATGTTCCGAATTTCCTCTTCATCTTGAAAACTTGATATTTTTAAAAACTGGATATTTGCAGCCAAAGAATTCAGAACAAAAAATTTGCTGTTTGAAAATACATGTCTATAATACTCTGCTATAAAAAAATTCAGTTGTTTTAAGTTTCAAATGTTCAATATTCAAGTTAAAAAAAATCTAATTCAGAACTGTTAAATGCCACATAATATTCGGTTTTGATAAATGCCACTTGTCAATAATTCAAATTTATACAATACAAATTCAAATAGTTTTGTCATATTATAAGCTCCATAACCCATGATGTTTGTTAGAGCCCTAAGAAATCCCTTTTATTCTTCCTAAATTCAGTTTGTTTTGTTTCCGTTTTAATTTTCCTAAATTTCATTTTTTTCATTTTTTTTTTCAGTTACATTTTTCTGGATTGCATTTTAATGGTTAAATTAGATTTTTGTAATTTAGTAGAAGTTTTATTTATTTATTTTTTTTACATCTTTTTTTTGTCAAAGTGGCACAACAGAGTTTTACTGTCAAAATTAAAACATGGTCAAAAATGATGTGATATTCCTGAAAAAATAACGTTTTAATTATTTTGTTCTTACTCTTCTTATTAATTTCAGAAGTACATCATTTCTTCATGTTAGACCAGTTTCTGTGTGCATCTGATGATAGTTTTCTCAAATGAAGAGGCTCTGTGGAGTTCATGTGTGAATCATGTATAAGCCGTTCTTTTGGATGCATGTGACACATTTGTGTTTGTGTTGGGCAGCCGCTGATGCCTCTGCAGGCCAACGGTCCCGGCCTGCAGTATAAGGTCATGTGGCGTCAGCAGGGCATTGAGAAGGACTGGACGTCGGTCAGCGTGGCTAACGTCTCTAAGTTCGTGGTGTCGGGGACACCCACATTCGTGCCGTACGAGGTGATGGTTCAGGCGCTGAACGATTACGGTCTTGGACCCAAACCCGGTGCTGTGATCGGATACTCCGGAGAGGACTGTGAGTGACGCTTTCAGCAGTTCAAACGCTTTACACCAGGGATCCTCAAATCTAGCCCACGAGATCCACTGTCCTGCAGAGTTTAGCTCTATCCCTAATCAAACACACCTGAGCATGCTAATCAATGTCTTTAGGATCGTTAGAAAATCACAAGTAGGTGAGTTTGGTCAGGGTTGGAGCTAAACTCTGCAGCGCATTGGCCCTCCATGGCAAGATTTGAGGAACCCTGCTTTATACTGTACGCTTGTTTAGTGGACTACTGCTAATCCCACAATGCACCTGTGCAGTTCCGTCAGCAGCTCCGGGTGATGTGCGGGTCCTGGTGCTGAACAGCACGCTAGCAGAGGTGCGCTGGAGCCCCGTTTCACCCGAATCCGTGCGCGGCCGACTCCAGGGTTATAAGGTACAGCTCTCCTCTCATCATGTGACCGGCTGATACGCGCACATTTACATTTATTTTACATTTATTTTTTGTTTGTTTTTCAGTTGAATTATATATCTATTATAGTTTGTTAATATTTTAAACTATATTTTCTTTTTATATTTTCTGTTTAGTTAAAGTTTTTTTTTTTTTTTTTTCTTTTTTTTGTGTGTTTTTTATGTCTATTTTTATTACATTTTAGTTTTAGTTTATTTATTTTTAGTTATTTTTGTAATTTAACTTAAACTAAACACAAATGTGAAATGTTGCCTTGGCAACTAGCTGAAAAAAAGAAAAATTTTTGTAATATTTTATTTTATTTCAGTTAATGTTTATTTTATTTAAAGTAATGAAAATGTGTTTTTTATGGTTTTAATTTTAGTTAACTTTAATAACCCTGATCCACTGTTAAAAAATAGTTTCTAAAAGTTCTGAAATTTCTGTCATTGAACAATCATCTTAAATAACGATCTCAGTATTGACCAAAATAATCATGATTGTGATTTTGATTGAGCAGCTGTAACTCACATTCACATTTACAAAATTTACATAACTAAAAATAAAATGCATGATGACACACTCTTTAGGAGACTTAATGGACAAATAAAAACTCATTAAAATCAGCTCAGTATTGATCACGCTCAGACTAGTGCATGCTGGGAGGATATGGAGAGTTGGTGGATGGTAGAAACCCTTTAACTGAGGTTGCGCTGTTGTCCGTGTGCAGGTGCATTACCAGCGTGAGCGCAGTTTACACCGACACAACTCTCATCACAGCAAACAGAGTACTGAGATCTTCAGCCCCAACAAAACCAGCGGGAAACTGCCTGACCTGCTGCCGTACAGCGTCTACAGCCTGCGTGTGACGGCCTTCAACGGCCGAGGAGAAGGTCCCTCCAGCGTCCCGCAGCGCTTCGAGACACCCGAGGGCGGTAAGAGCAGCGCTAACGTTTCTACAACACCCAACAGAGGACAGCATCAAAACTGTCAGCAGCAACACAGACTTTTCCATTAAGGGCTGATATTTAATCCATTTCCAGAGGCATTTTGACCTTTATAAAGGCAACTTTTCTAACCTTCTTATTTACATTTTTATATTTATTTAATGAATGCAATTAGATATAGACGACATTATAGGGCTGATACCAATCAAAAAAAAAAAAAAAAAAGAGGTAGCACAGAATCTGTATCTGAAGTGGCATTTAGATGGACTCTTTACAACTGCAAAAATAATGTTCTAAATACAAAATATATTAAATATAGAAAATAAAATTATATGAAATAGGAAACTAAAACCACCAGTAGGTGGCAACAAGTGTTAATGAGTGAGTCATTTATTCATTCATTCAACCGATTTGTTCAAATGTTTGATTCATTCAGGAAGGAAGCAAGTGACTGTCTTTATGAATGAGTCACTGAATCTTTTGCTGAATCATTCTCTGAATCATTCAAGAACAAAATGCCACTGTGTTGACTGGAGAACTATTTTGGAGCAAAAACAGTCGAAATGGACAATATGTACAAATGTACATCACTTATTGTTAGCTTAAACTTAACCTATGTTTAAATCTACTTATTTATTAATGATATACCATTGGATAAAGTATTAAATAGTGATGATCTTAGAAGGAGGACGAATGAGGGTCCAGTATTTAGAAACTGGACTGTCTGACCTAAAGCCGGACTGATGGCCGCACAGGTGCTACTGTAATTTAACACGGATGCTGTGTGTTTGTGTTCCAGTTCCAGGTGTGCCGTCCTTCTTCAAGGTTTCTGCTTTAGATCTGGACTCTCTGACGCTGGAATGGGGTCCACCTCACGAGAGGAATGGCCGTCTGACCGGATACACCTTCAAATATCAGAGCGGTGAGAAAACCTGCTCATTCACACTGGGAACCATGACTACACTGCCTGCCAATAAGAGAGACGCACACTCTAATATTGATCTAATGGTGTTTCCACAAGCTTATGCAGCATCACAACATTTATCTCCATCAAGAGTTTCATTCACCGATAACGTTCTTCGGTTATATCGTCAGTGGTGGAGTGAACTTCAATATTCTTACAGAGTTAAAACTTCATAGTTATTGTTTTTGGTGTGAATGTGCCTTTATGATTTAAAGTTTGAAAAAAGGAAGTTTCCAGAATCTCTGCTATATTTTGCAGCTATTTTAAATATGGTACAGTTTGCATGTGTTGTACATGTTTGAGTGTTCGTCCTTGTTCCTGTTGCTCGAGTCAGTTTGAAGTAGCGAACAGAACAAATGGTCTGTAAGCGTAGCTTATGATTGGGTAAAATAATGTGACCCGCCCCTTTCCACTCCTGTCCCGCCTCCAGTCGACAGCAAAAATGATTTGGGTCTGCTGGAGGAGCTGGATCTGCCGTCCAATCAGAGCAGCTTCACGCTGCACAACCTCCCTCACAGCACACGCTACAAGTTTTATATCAGTGCCAGAACGCAAAGAGGAGTCGGTCCCACGCTCACCGAGGAGGCCGTCACTGTCCTCGACAGAGGTACGTACACTAGATAGGGCGCACAGCTGTTTCTGTAGTGTGTGTCAGTTTTATGTGTTTTCTGTTTACTCTACTGTTTATTCTACTGTTTATTCTACTGTTTACTCTACTGTTTATTCTACTGTTTATTCTACTGTTTACTCTACTGTTTACTCTACTGTTTATTCTACTTCGACTCGTCTTTGAACGTCTCATGTTTGTGGATCTGTGTAAGACTCATCATACCTGCTTAGGTTACGACAGAAACGAGCCGCGTGTTGTCTGTGCTCATAGTATTTACCGCAGGACTGATGTTCAGATGTAGATTCTGGATCTGTGTGAACTCAAACACCCATCATACCTGCAATCAGTGAAATATAAGTCTGTCAGCTGTGTTTTAGAGTGAAGCATGGCACTGTGTTCGTTTACACGCGAGCAGCTCATGATCCAGTGTTTTCAGCGTCTCGGTTCGCAGTAAAAGCAGCGAACTCAACGTGCACCAGTAATGCTTTATTTTCACATTGACATAACAGATGATTACAGCATTTCACTAGATTTGTAATGAGATGCGTTTGTAAACATGTCTCTCTGCATTTTTTCGCCAAAATAAAAGCTTGATGGTTTAACTCCTGCTAGTGAATAAATTGATTTTGTTACTAAGTAAAATAACTTATATACTTATCATGAAATTTTATTTTATTTTACAGTGCAGTTGTATTACAATTGTCATTTCTTTCTTTCTTGAAGATTATAATAATAATAACAATACATTTAAAATTTTAATAATAATTATTTTTTATTTTTTTATTTTTTATTTTTTACACCATCCTGCATCATATTTGCTGAATGAAATCCAATACTTGTTTCTCACTAATTTTAGGGTGCAGATTTCGAAAATAGTGTCTGTTGTGCTCTTTCACGTCACACTTTCTCTCTAAATTTGATGCATTTTGTAGCATTTTTGCTTGCGACACTCATCTGTGCGGTAAATAAGTCTTGTATTCTCCCTCAATCAGCAGAAAACACCACAAACACATGATTCCCATCTGAATGTGACCCAGATGACAACTGTTTGATCAATTCTCAACATATATTCACATGTATTATTCACATGACATTATCTGATACCTAATCCTGATTTCAAGGTTAGAATTATGGCTAGTGACACAAGAAAATGCAAACATGAATCAGGTGTTTTACTGCATCCACGCAGAGACAGAAAATTATATATTTTGTAAAGTTCTTTGACATTAAAGGGGAAAATCTGACTTTTTCCATGTTTAAGTGCTATAATCGGGTCCCCTGTGCATCTACCAACCCAGAAAACGTGAAAAAGGGACAACCCAGTAACTTTGTTTTGGTAAACCTTTCTCTGCCATCATGTGAAAAAACGAGCCGCTCAGATTTCACTCCTCTAGTGACGTAGAGAGGGGATCTTATTATAATATCACCGCCCCTTTATCTGCACATTTCCACCCACGGCCATTGTCATTGTGATTTCGCAAGCGACAATGGTGTACCAGTTCTAATGCCATGGCAAAAGTTTGAGCAAAACATGCTAACTGTTCTGTCTTTTGCTGCACAGACGAGCACAGAACACTATTTAGAGTCCCAGCCTCAGAGGAGACAAGTGCATCTACCAACCCAGAAAACGTGAAAAAGGGACAACCCAGTAACTTTGTTTTGGTAAACCTTTCTCTGCCATCATGTGAAAAAACGAGCCGCTCAGATTTCACTCCTCTAGTGACGTAGAGAGGGGATCTTATTATAATATCACCGCCCCTTTATCTGCACATTTCCACCCACGGCCATTGTCATTGTGATTTCGCAAGCGACAATGGTGTACCAGTTCTAATGCCATGGCAAAAGTTCAAGCATCGCATGCTAACTGTTCTATCGTTAGCTGCACAGAGGAGCACAAAACACTATTAGAGTCCCAGCCTCAGAGGAGACAAGAGAGCAGTGGATTTAATGATTTATTTACTGTATATTACGCTGCTGCCACACTGATCTAATGTAAACATGTGATTTCTTTCCCAGCTGTTTACCTTCACAGATATAACCAACTGTTTTTGTAACTCATATGTGTTTTTAACATAAACATCTGTGTATTTGACAGTGTAAGCACAATAAGACATGAAAGAGAACTTAGTGTAGTGCTCACATGCCGCTTTCTGTGCGCGTGCTTTGGATGTGTGCGCTCAGAAAACACTACATCAGAAGTTTACATTGATATGGCTTTAAAACGCATGATTTTAGCATGATAGACATGATAATCAAAACCAAACTGATGTTTTTTGGCAGCATATCTGCGATACGAGCTATAAAGGCTCCGCTCTATTCTGGAAAAGGGGGCGGGGAGCAGCAGTTCATTAGCATTTAAAGAGACAGGCACGAAAACAACATGTTTAACATGTTTCTCAAAACAGGCGTTTTCAAAATGTTATAATAAATGATCTGTGGGGTATTTTGAGCTGAAAGAGCTGAAACACATTCTGGGGACACCAGAGACTTATATTACATCTAGTAAAAAGGGGCATAATAGGTCTTTTTTAAATGGAGTATCTGAACATATTTTTTCCACTCCGTTGCAGATTGTAAGTTAAATAATACATTTTCAATACTTCTTTTTGTCAAACTATTGGCATTCGACTGCTTTTGTTATTTTGATAAGTGCATTAAAGCTGATGCATATAATTTGAAGGATTTTCCTTCTTATTTTGTGAAGAAAAAAAAACTATGCGATAGAAAGTTTTTATTCATATTTTTTAACTCCGCATCATCAAATTAACCAATATTAGGCTTTTTTTTTTCTTTTTTTTTTGCAAATGAGCAGGATTTTTTTTTTCAAGATCTAGGACTGTGCTCTTAGTATATGAAAATGATTTGACTTTTTCATTTTTATAAATGAGAATAAACGCCCTTCTTCCTCCTACAGTAGTGACATCATCACTAGCCCCGCCTCTACACGCTAACGTGTCATTACGCTACTCACATGGTGTATGGATCACTTGTAGACAGTGCCACTCATGTCAGTGCATCATTGACACTCACTGATCTGGAGGTCAGAGGTCACTGTGATGGGCTGATGATGTCTCTCTCTCTCTCAGCGCCGCCGGTCACTCCTGCATTTGGGAACGTCAGCTCGTCCATGAGCGAGGATGGAGCGCTGATCAGTTGGGAATACTGGGGCCCCGAGAAACACCTTTATGTTGAATATATTATAGACAACAGTAAGAATCATGCATGCGTGTGTCGTGAGGATGATGATGATGAAATGCTGAACGTATACATTCCCATGATTAGAGCTCCTGTAGTAACTAATACACAGCCATCTACCCCACTGAACAGATCAACCTCAACGCTAGTTAGTGCTGGTTAGTGCTGGTGGTGACCCGTCTGTTCAGCAGGGTACACTGCAAAAAATACTTAGTATTTTTGTCTTGTTTTCCAATACAAATATCTAAACATTCTTATATCAAGAAGAATATTAAGAAGATATAAAGTCATGTTGTCTGAGAAATTGATCAAAATGAAGTGAGTTTAGACTTAAAATAAGAAACTACAAGTGAATAGGGTAAAACATCTAGCTACTAGATATCATATCACCATACTTCCCCAGTTGATTAATCACAGTATGCTAAGTTTTCTGAAATGTTATATTTAAATATGCACTAATTTGCAAACATTTACACAAAATCTGAACTTTGGATAAAGCCAGGTAAAAAAAAAATCTTGTTTGATTTTGTTGACATATTAGAGTTAAACGATGTTGGACTTCTATTTTTATAACTCCATAAATCATAAAAACAAAACAATTTTCACCATGTTTTAAGAATAATCTCTTATATAAATCAGTGTAAATGCAATATGAACAAACCCCTCAGAATATAGATAGGAATAAAACAAAAAAATGTGGTGTATGTTAGTGCTGCTGAAGTGGAGAAACAAACTCATGATCTTTAATTATATGCGTTTTCTCCATGTTTTAAAAAAATTAAATGTTGTATAAATCAGTGTGAATGAAATATGAACAAACCCCTCAGTAAAAACCTTCAGAATATAGAGAGGAATACAACTCTAAGTTTTGGTGTGTGTAAGTGCCGCTGAAGTGGAGAAACAAACTTTTATATATATGGGTTGGATTTGAAATCTACAGACGCAAATAGATAAAGTGCAATAAAATAAACACTTAAATGTGCATTTGGACTTTTCATTCCACTAGTCTGAAAAAAAGACATGTTATGCAAGCAAAATAGTCCAAAATGTTCCAGTGCATGAAAAAAACAAGAAAAGAAAAAAACAAATCGGGAGAGAAAATCCTGTTTTCCCTTTGAATTAAGTTTATTTTTCTGGCCTCATTGGTAGATATTATTTCTTGTTTTAAGTATAAACACACTTCATTTTGAAAACATCTTAAAAACCTTCAGATCTTATCTGATGTCATTGTGCATGTATCTTATATACTGGAAAAACAAGACAAAAATATTGAGGAAGAACATCAGTTTTTGCAGTGTAGTTCACCAAAGGGTCATAACAGTTTAGTTGTTTTGTAGATTAATTGCAGAGCTGTAGTAGGTGGGTAGTCAGAATTAACTCCAGACTGACACAGCAGGTGTAGAGAGCTAACTTACCCATATTTGATTGTGAGGATGCTGAAGTGCTTCCTGTTGTGCTGGAAACCCTCAGGTGATGAAGACTGGCACAAAGAGAAGGTCAACGGCTCTCAGTTCCACGTTCTTAAGGGTTTGAAGAAAGGTTTGGCCTACAAGGTGCGTGTGGTGGCCCAGGGTCATGACGACCAAGCGGTCCATCACTCTGAGGAGCTGTTGGTTAAGGTCTCAGGTGAGGCTTCATCTCAGCCTCAAGGCCTTATGGGATCTTTGACGGCTGTGATGCATGACGGCCGTTGTGTTGAGATGTTGAAGCGCATGACGCACGTCTGTATGTCCTGCACGAGTCCGTCTGTGCTCATAATGTGGCTCAGTTGTTACTGTGCGCGTGCTTTGGATGTGTGCGCTCAGAAAACACTACATCAGAAGTTTACATTGATATGGCTTTAAAACGCATGATTTTAGCATGATAGACATGATAATCAAAACCAAACTGATGTTTTTTGGCAGCATATCTGCGATACGAGCTATAAAGGCTCCGCTCTATTCTGGAAAAGGGGGCGGGGAGCAGCAGTTCATTAGCATTTAAAGAGACAGGCACGAAAACAACATGTTTCTGCTTCCACTCAAAACAGGCGTTTTCAAAATGTTATAATAAATGATCTGTGGGGTATTTTGAGCTGAAACTTCACAGACACATTCTGGGGACACCAGAGACTTATATTACATCTAGTAAAAAGGGGCATAATAGGTCTTTTTTAAATGGAGTATCTGAACATATTTTTTCCACTCCGTTGCAGATTGTAAGTTAAATAATACATTTTCAATACTTCTTTTTGTCAAACTATTGGCATTCGACTGCTTTTGTTATTTTGATAAGTGCATTAAAGCTGATGCATATAATTTGAAGGATTTTCCTTCTTATTTTGTGAAGAAAAAAAAACTATGCGATAGAAAGTTTTTATTCATATTTTTTAACTCCGCATCATCAAATTAACCAATATTAGGCTTTTTTTTTTCTTTTTTTTTTGCAAATGAGCAGGATTTTTTTTTTCAAGATCTAGGACTGTGCTCTTAGTATATGAAAATGATTTGACTTTTTCATTTTTATAAATGAGAATAAACGCCCTTCTTCCTCCTACAGTAGTGACATCATCACTAGCCCCGCCTCTACACGCTAACGTGTCATTACGCTACTCACATGGTGTATGGATCACTTGTAGACAGTGCCACTCATGTCAGTGCATCATTGACACTCACTGATCTGGAGGTCAGAGGTCACTGTGATGGGCTGATGATGTCTCTCTCTCTCTCAGCGCCGCCGGTCACTCCTGCATTTGGGAACGTCAGCTCGTCCATGAGCGAGGATGGAGCGCTGATCAGTTGGGAATACTGGGGCCCCGAGAAACACCTTTATGTTGAATATATTATAGACAACAGTAAGAATCATGCATGCGTGTGTCGTGAGGATGATGATGATGAAATGCTGAACGTATACATTCCCATGATTAGAGCTCCTGTAGTAACTAATACACAGCCATCTACCCCACTGAACAGATCAACCTCAACGCTAGTTAGTGCTGGTTAGTGCTGGTGGTGACCCGTCTGTTCAGCAGGGTACACTGCAAAAAATACTTAGTATTTTTGTCTTGTTTTCCAATACAAATATCTAAACATTCTTATATCAAGAAGAATATTAAGAAGATATAAAGTCATGTTGTCTGAGAAATTGATCAAAATGAAGTGAGTTTAGACTTAAAATAAGAAACTACAAGTGAATAGGGTAAAACATCTAGCTACTAGATATCATATCACCATACTTCCCCAGTTGATTAATCACAGTATGCTAAGTTTTCTGAAATGTTATATTTAAATATGCACTAATTTGCAAACATTTACACAAAATCTGAACTTTGGATAAAGCCAGGTAAAAAAAAAATCTTGTTTGATTTTGTTGACATATTAGAGTTAAACGATGTTGGACTTCTATTTTTATAACTCCATAAATCATAAAAACAAAACAATTTTCACCATGTTTTAAGAATAATCTCTTATATAAATCAGTGTAAATGCAATATGAACAAACCCCTCAGAATATAGATAGGAATAAAACAAAAAAATGTGGTGTATGTTAGTGCTGCTGAAGTGGAGAAACAAACTCATGATCTTTAATTATATGCGTTTTCTCCATGTTTTAAAAAAATTAAATGTTGTATAAATCAGTGTGAATGAAATATGAACAAACCCCTCAGTAAAAACCTTCAGAATATAGAGAGGAATACAACTCTAAGTTTTGGTGTGTGTAAGTGCCGCTGAAGTGGAGAAACAAACTTTTATATATATGGGTTGGATTTGAAATCTACAGACGCAAATAGATAAAGTGCAATAAAATAAACACTTAAATGTGCATTTGGACTTTTCATTCCACTAGTCTGAAAAAAAGACATGTTATGCAAGCAAAATAGTCCAAAATGTTCCAGTGCATGAAAAAAACAAGAAAAGAAAAAAACAAATCGGGAGAGAAAATCCTGTTTTCCCTTTGAATTAAGTTTATTTTTCTGGCCTCATTGGTAGATATTATTTCTTGTTTTAAGTATAAACACACTTCATTTTGAAAACATCTTAAAAACCTTCAGATCTTATCTGATGTCATTGTGCATGTATCTTATATACTGGAAAAACAAGACAAAAATATTGAGGAAGAACATCAGTTTTTGCAGTGTAGTTCACCAAAGGGTCATAACAGTTTAGTTGTTTTGTAGATTAATTGCAGAGCTGTAGTAGGTGGGTAGTCAGAATTAACTCCAGACTGACACAGCAGGTGTAGAGAGCTAACTTACCCATATTTGATTGTGAGGATGCTGAAGTGCTTCCTGTTGTGCTGGAAACCCTCAGGTGATGAAGACTGGCACAAAGAGAAGGTCAACGGCTCTCAGTTCCACGTTCTTAAGGGTTTGAAGAAAGGTTTGGCCTACAAGGTGCGTGTGGTGGCCCAGGGTCATGACGACCAAGCGGTCCATCACTCTGAGGAGCTGTTGGTTAAGGTCTCAGGTGAGGCTTCATCTCAGCCTCAAGGCCTTATGGGATCTTTGACGGCTGTGATGCATGACGGCCGTTGTGTTGAGATGTTGAAGCGCATGACGCACGTCTGTATGTCCTGCACGAGTCCGTCTGTGCTCATAATGTGGCTCAGTTGTTATTGTTTATTGATCGATCAGCATGATTGTATCCCATAATCTGCAAAGTTGATTTTCTTACTCAGGATTTTTGAGTTGTTTTCCAATACAAGTATCTCAACATTACATTTACTTCAGATGCAAATTTAAGATATTAAATCTTGTTTTCTGAAAAATTCTAAAAGTATATCAAAATTGAGTTATATATGAGTTATGTATATATTTCTGATCCCTTTGGCAAATATTTTGTTCTTCTTTCACCGTAAACTGACTTCATTGTGATACATTTCTCAGAATTTCTGCATTATGTCTCAGGTAAATGTATCTTGATTTAAGCATATTCAGATATTTGTACTGGAAAACGAGACAGAAATACTGATGAAGAACATGGTTTCTGCAGTGCTGGTCAAGTTTCCCTTTCCGTGTTTGTCTCTCATGACTGTGTTCATGGCGTCTGATCTTCTGTGACTCGTTGGATCGAGCTGTTTAAAGTTGAAGATCTGCACGTGTCTCATGCTCCTCCTCCTCCTCCTCCTCCTCCTCTTCCTCAGCGATGGTGAGTCCGCAGGTGGACATCGCCACTCAGGGCTGGTTCATCGGTCTGATGTCGGCCATCGCTCTGCTCATCCTCATCCTGCTCATCATCTGCTTCATCAAGAGGAACAAGGGCGGCAAATATCCAGGTGACTGTGACTTTATTATTATTAACAGTTTGTATTAATATTTTGAATTTGACTTTATTTTTTTTATGTTCTCTTCACTTTAATTTTATTTAAAGTTTTAGTACTTTTGTTGTGCTTTTGTCATTTTTGTTGTTTTTTTATTATTTTATTTTCTATTATTTTCTTTTTTCCAAGTATCCATATGACATACTAATACCATATAGAAATTGTTTTATACATCAACTCAGTTCTTTTTGATGCATTTCTAAGAAAACAAGACGGTAACACTTTATTTCGATAGTCCACTTTAGACATTCTATTAACAGTAAGTAACTTTGCAACTACATGTCAACTAGCAGTTAGTAGAGTATTAGTAGACTGTCTGCTTAATATCTTCTAACACTTTCTTTGTCAACTTATTCTACTAACCCTAAACCTACCCTAACAGTCTACTCTGAGAATTAGTTGACATGTAGTTGACATATAGTTACAAAGTTACTTATAGTTAATAGAATGTCTAAAGTGGACTATCGAAATAAAGTGTAACCAACAAGACTTCTTATCTTAAGTCATTTTAATCTTTAGACATTTACACTAGAAACAAGACAAACTACTGGAAGAACATGTTTAATCTACATGTTAACTCTGTTCCTCATGGGTGAATGATGTGTTGTTTGGATTGTAAATGCCGGTGTGTGACTCTGATGTTTGTCTCAGTTAAAGAGAAGGAAGATGCTCACGGAGACCCGGAGATCCAGCCCATGAAGGAGGATGATATCACGTTTGGAGAGTACAGGTGAGAGAGCTCTGACCCCTCAGGAGACTGACCCCACCGCACCACACAACATCACCTTCATCTTCTCCTCCGATGGATCTGATCCGGTCTGATCTGCTGCTGGTGGTCTGATGCAGATCCTGCGGGACTCGATCAGGTTCTCATCTCCAGGATGATCGGCATCAGTGAACTTGATGATCCAGCAGTGTATTTACTGTATCAGAATATAGTTCTGCATCATTTTCTGAATAATTCCAGAATAATCCTGCAGATGTTAGTTTCATATAATGACACAGGATCTGAACTGAAGCTGCTGGTTTGCCATTTAAAGTCTATTCCTGTGTTATTCTGCACGCGTGCAGGAGACGAATGAACGCACTTTACTCCTGTATAGCAATATTATTTTATATTCCCTGCTTCATTAAATTATTTCCTTTTTATACGCTGATTTTTGACATTATTGCAGATGTTGATCTGTCCTCAGCAGACAGTGTTCATGATAACGCTGGTCAATGATGTGAATCTGACAGCTGCTCTTCACCTGACACAGGTTACTTTACTAGTTACTTGGGGGGAAAAAAAAGTAATCTGATTACGTAACTTGTGTTACTTGTAATGGATTACCCTCAACACTGATCAAATCTTTACTTTGAATGCAGTGTAAGTCACTGTTTGCCAGATGCAGAATATGAGTGTGGATTACAGGATCGTTCTATCCTTGAATGATAACACTATCCGAAACAAACTCACACAGCAGTAAAATAAACGTTAATGAATCAGAATCGATTCAGCTGCTCTGAATGAACACAGACTCATCAGATCCACATTACTGCTCTTAGTATATGATGTTTAGTAGCTCTGAATCGCATCTGCTGTGACGCTCGCGCAGACTGAGTCGAGATAAGAACGCTCAGGAGTCGCTGGCGTTTGTTCCTCCCGTGGTCTGTAAGTGGTGGTCGAATGTGGGAAGGTAAGCGGGAACCTGCATGCGAGAGGAGAAAAACACAACCATTCCTGGATCACACTTCACGTGAACCGCTAACACATGTACAGTACGTCATCGCCAGCCCGAGAACATGCAGTGAGAATGAATCCGAGTAAGGGGCCGTTCACACAGAACACGTCTTTCCATTCCAATGTGCTATTTTTCCATTGTTTTTCTCTTGCAGCGTCTCATACATGAGCACCGCATTTTTATGACGCTGCGTCAAGTTAAAAGAATTTAAACTTTTACACGCAGTGCCGCTCATCAATGTCAGTTCCAAAACAGTGGACCAATCAGAAGACCCCGGAGGCGGGGAAAGTGTTGCGAGTTTTTGTTTACAGTAGCAAGTTGGCATGGCAACTGTTTTTATTTCCATTATTGTGTCACGTCTCAAAAGCGTGTCTTGAGACCCTTGCGTTCTGCCAAAGACTATAGAATAGCCAAGACATGTCACTCGTATAGTTTTGAATGGGGAAAAATGCAACGCTCAATATGGCCGCTCAATCGCAGGAAGCCCCGCCTTCTGAATGAAGGAGCCAACCGCTAATCAGTAAAGTCAGTGGGTCGCTGCAGCTGCCGTTAGAAGTCCCGGTTGCTATAGAAACAGTCAGCATTTTGAGACATGCGCTCAGGACTGCGCATGCGCACTGGCTGGTCTAGCCTGAAAAATAGGCTTTTTATAACGCTATTTGAGCAAAATAAACAACATTTATGACACTGTTGATATCAGATTTCTTTGGTGATTTCAAATATGAAATTTGATCGTAAGTTTAGTGAACAGTTTTGGAGAATTTCATGTTTCCCCATTCAAAGAGATAGGAGCTGCACTTGCATGCCCGAGAGGCATTTCAAAGATGGCCGCCGAGTGACATGATTTGTCTTAAAGGGACTTTGGTTCTGCGCTGCGCTTGATGCAAAGACGCGTTCTGTGTGAACGGCCCCTAACAGTACTATGCTAGAGTAAATGTATCGAAGATTGTATAAAAACTACTCCGATTAAATGCTTTTAGCTTTTATTTACTGGGGTTATACAGTATTTTTTGCACTTTTAAAAAAATATTATTATTATTTTAAAAATATATAAAAATAAAAAATATTTGATAAAATTATTTTTGCCTTTATTCGTGCCAAATGACTTGCATGAAATGCAGACAGTGTTCATGATAACGCTGGTCAATGATGTGAATCTGACAGCTGCTCTTCACCTGACACACACAGGAACACATTACCGGCATTTTAGATAAAAATATTTACATAAAATATTTAGAAATTAAAATACAAATAAATGAAATTATTAAATGTATATTTTCTTGAAGCCCGCCTGAGATTTTAAATTAATATTTCAATCATTTAACAACTCAGATATTTTTTTTTTTGCGTTACTTTACTAGTTGGGGGGGAAAAAAAAGTAATCTGATTACGTAACTTGTGTTACTTGTAATGGATTACCCTCAACACTGATCAAATCTTTACTTTGAATGCAGTGTAAGTCACTGTTTGCCAGATGCAGAATATGAGTGTGGATTACAGGATCGTTCTATCCTTGAATGATAACACTATCCGAAACAAACTCACACAGCAGTAAAATAAACGTTAATGAATCAGAATCGATTCAGCTGCTCTGAATGAACACAGACTCATCAGATCCACATTACTGCTCTTAGTATATGATGTTTAGTAGCTCTGAATCGCATCTGCTGTGACGCTCGCGCAGACTGAGTCGAGATAAGAACGCTCAGGAGTCGCTGGCGTTTGTTCCTCCCGTGGTCTGTAAGTGGTGGTCGAATGTGGGAAGGTAAGCGGGAACCTGCATGCGAGAGGAGAAAAACACAACCATTCCTGGATCACACTTCACGTGAACCGCTAACACATGTACAGTACGTCATCGCCAGCCCGAGAACATGCAGTGAGAATGAATCCGAGTAAGGGGCCGTTCACACAGAACACGTCTTTCCATTCCAATGTGCTATTTTTCCATTGTTTTTCTCTTGCAGCGTCTCATACATGAGCACCGCATTTTTATGACGCTGCGTCAAGTTAAAAGAATTTAAACTTTTACACGCAGTGCCGCTCATCAATGTCAGTTCCAAAACAGTGGACCAATCAGAAGACCCCGGAGGCTGGGAAAGTGTTGCGAGTTTTTGTTTACAGTAGCAAGTTGGCATGGCAACTGTTTTTATTTCCATTATTGTGTCACGTCTCAAAAGCGTGTCTTGAGACCCTTGCGTTCTGCCAAAGACTATAGAATAGCCAAGACATGTCACTCGTATAGTTTTGAATGGGGAAAAATGCAACGCTCAATATGGCCGCTCAATCGCAGGAAGCCCCGCCTTCTGAATGAAGGAGCCAACCGCTAATCAGTAAAGTCAGTGGGTCGCTGCAGCTGCCGTTAGAAGTCCCGGTTGCTATAGAAACAGTCAGCATTTTGAGACATGCGCTCAGGACTGCGCATGCGCACTGGCTGGTCTAGCCTGAAAAATAGGCTTTTTATAACGCTATTTGAGCAAAATAAACAACATTTATGACACTGTTGATATCAGATTTCTTTGGTGATTTCAAATATGAAATTTGATCGTAAGTTTAGTGAACAGTTTTGGAGAATTTCATGTTTCCCCATTCAAAGAGATAGGAGCTGCACTTGCATGCCCGAGAGGCATTTCAAAGATGGCCGCCGAGTGACATGATTTGTCTTAAAGGGACTTTGGTTCTGCGCTGCGCTTGATGCAAAGACGCGTTCTGTGTGAACGGCCCCTAACAGTACTATGCTAGAGTAAATGTATCGAAGATTGTATAAAAACTACTCCGATTAAATGCTTTTAGCTTTTATTTACTGGGGTTATACAGTATTTTTTGCACTTTTAAAAAAATATTATTATTATTTTAAAAATATATAAAAATAAAAAATATTTGATAAAATTATTTTTGCCTTTATTCGTGCCAAATGACTTGCATGAAATTGTATCAACAAATATAGAACAACAAAAATCCATATAATAATAATAATAATAAAACCAAAAGCCAGAGAAAAACATGTATATGAAGGCATTATACAGTATGAGCCTCTCAGTTCTCTAGTTACCTGTACTAACTTACTCGTAACACGGCAGGAGTTTCATGGGAAGTGTGAGTACATCCATTCATGATTCATGTATGATTTGAAGTTTTTCTCAATCTGTTTGTGTTTTAATCGCGGCTGATGGGCTTCATTCATGAATCACCAGCAGAAGGAGTGTCTTCAGGAAGTTTGTCGAATGAATCAGATTTATTGAATGATTCGCTCAGGATTGAGGCAGCTGGTGCTTCAGGAATCAGGCTTTGTTTTGTCATGATGATCATGTTCAGGCTGATGTTTGAATCATGGTTTGATGAATCTGTTTTTCATCTTCACGCTTCAGATGCTGAGATATTGATTGCACTTCATGATAGGAGCTGCACTTGCATGCCCGAGAGGCATTTCAAAGATGGCCGCCGAGTGACATGATTTGTCTTAAAGGGACTTTGGTTCTGCGCTGCGCTTGATGCAAAGACGCGTTCTGTGTGAACGGCCCCTAACAGTACTATGCTAGAGTAAATGTATCGAAGATTGTATAAAAACTACTCCGATTAAATGCTTTTAGCTTTTATTTACTGGGGTTATACAGTATTTTTTGCACTTTTAAAAAAATATTATTATTATTTTAAAAATATATAAAAATAAAAAATATTTGATAAAATTATTTTTGCCTTTATTCGTGCCAAATGACTTGCATGAAATTGTATCAACAAATATAGAACAACAAAAATCCATATAATAATAATAATAATAAAACCAAAAGCCAGAGAAAAACATGTATATGAAGGCATTATACAGTATGAGCCTCTCAGTTCTCTAGTTACCTGTACTAACTTACTCGTAACACGGCAGGAGTTTCATGGGAAGTGTGAGTACATCCATTCATGATTCATGTATGATTTGAAGTTTTTCTCAATCTGTTTGTGTTTTAATCGCGGCTGATGGGCTTCATTCATGAATCACCAGCAGAAGGAGTGTCTTCAGGAAGTTTGTCGAATGAATCAGATTTATTGAATGATTCGCTCAGGATTGAGGCAGCTGGTGCTTCAGGAATCAGGCTTTGTTTTGTCATGATGATCATGTTCAGGCTGATGTTTGAATCACGGTTTGATGAATCTGTTTTTCATCTTCACGCTTCAGATGCTGAGATATTGATTGCACTTCATCCACCTTTATTCCTCTGATAGTTTCCCATGATGCTTTAATGCTTGTTTTGAAGTTCACGCAGGTTTTGTCTCTCATCCTGTCACATGTATGTGATTGTACATGTGACACTGATCCTGCATGTGTGTGCCGTCCATCTTTTGAGTTTGATTTGCGTCATGATTCACCTGCATGTGGTTTTTCTCCTAGTGACGAGGACCGTAAACCGCTCAAAGGGAGCCGAACTCCGTCCAGCGGAACCGTTAAACGCGACGGCAGCGACGACAGTTTAGTCGACTACGGAGACTCTGGAGACACGCAGTTCAACGAGGACGGCTCGTTTATCGGACAGTATAGCGGGAGGTCAGATAGAGACGTGACGCACGACAGCTCCGAGCCGCCGTCTCCGGTGAACGCCATGAACTCATTCGTGTGAGATCCGCTGATTCATGAACCCAGCTTCAGTTTACTAGAGACTAATCAAGCCCAACGCTCGTGACGGACGCGACTGAATCGGACGACACGTGACTGTTGCGTCCGTACGAATGTCAGAGGATGTTTAACCGGGCTGTGTTCACAATAGCACACCATCATACTACTGCAGTATGTACTATTATGCAATCATCTAGATATCAGGCAAAAATATAAACATTTTCAATTATGATTTGACTTTATAACTTAAAGATTTACTTAAAGGAATATTTGACCCAAAAATGAAAATTTGCTGAAGATGTGCTCACCCTCAAGCCGTCTGAGATGTAGATGAGTTTGTTTCTTGATCAGATTTGGAGAAATGTAGCATTGAATCAGTGTCTCACTGCAAGTGAATGGGTTCCGTCAGAATGAGAGTCCAAACAGCTGATAAAAACATCACAATAATCCACAAGTAATCCACAGCACTCCAGTCCATCAGTTAACATCTGGAGAAGACAAAAGCTGAAACTAATCCAGCATTAAGACGCTTTTAACTAAAATACAGAGTCTATAATCCATAATAACTCTTCCTCCAGTGAAAAAGTGTTCTGGTGTGAATCAGGAGAGAAATCTGCACAGATCAAGCAGCGTTTAAACAGCTCTAAACACATATGTGGCTGGATTTTGATGTGAGAGACAACAGCAGATGCACTTTTTCACTGGAGGAAGAGTTATTATGGATTATGGACTCGTATTTTAGCCGGAAGCTAAAATTGGTTCTGACGGCACCCATTCACTGCAGAGGATCCATTGGTGAGCAAGTTGCTACAATTCTCTAAATCTGATGAACAAACAAACTCATTTATATCCCAGATGACCTGAGTGTGAGCACATTTTCATTTTTTGGGTGAACTATTCCTCATGTGACTGTGTTGATCATGTGACGACGCAGTATGCTAGTATTATATTACAAACGCAGCAGATGTATCCATGCATGAAGACAATATTTTACTATTGTACTGCGAGAACTCTGATTCTGAGAGGTGGAGACGCTCTCACTGTATTTCATGGCGCTGCTGCAGTGTTTAACAGTTTGCTAATGACAGTCACAGACTCTTCAAGCGCTTAAACACTCTTGTAGCTGATGTCAGGTGCTTCCAGAGCATCATCTTGACCCGCATGTGAACCTGTGCAGTTCCCATAGCAACCCAAACCTGTGATGCTGAGAGGAACCTAATGATGATGATGCTTCATCTGTGAGACTGTAAATGTCAAAGATGAGTTCAATATGCTAATGGAGGATCATCGTCAGGCCAATCCGAGCACTTTTAAATATCCACATGTAGAAATGAGACTAGAATTCATCAGAGGACATTTCTATGGAGTGAATCCCACACTGGCTCATATTTCATCCCAAAATAAAAATATTTGAAATTATATTTTACATAAAGAAAACAAAGCCTGTTTTTAGAAACATTCATTCTTTTTTGCATTATGACATTATGATAGCTAAATATGTTTTATTCAAAATTCTCATTAATGGAATTTATACCCATCATTATGATGCAAAAAAAACAAAAAATCTCATTGTGTCTAAAAATATGATTAATTTTCTTGATGTGTAAAATATAATTTCTATTTTTTGATTTTGGGATTTTTAATGTAATTCACTCTATTTATACTTTGCCTCGATTGGTTTTTGTAGATCTGCTCGTCAGAATGAACTGTGTGTGTGTGTGTGTGTGTGTGTGTGTGAGCGTGAAAGAGATTTCTATGCTTTCTTCATAACTTGCATCAAGTTTGAATTTGAAATGTTAAATGTTGTTTTGTAAAGATATTTTGTTACTGTAAATAAAGCGAGAGTTTGTGTGGCTTGAGAACTGAAGTGCAGGTCAGGTGTGTGTGTGCGTGCGAGTGTGTGTGTGCGTGCGTGCAGGGGAGTGTGTGTGTGTGTGTGTGTGTGTGTGTACAATAAACTTTCTAATCTGAAGAGAAGATCTCAAAGAAAACCAAGTATGCATTTCTTTTTATTTTTCAAATGTGTAATTGTGTTACTGTGTTAATGTGTAATTGTGTGCTCATAGAGCACACTGTATGGTTGTTTGTGCTACTACATGTGCACACAGACTAGTAAAGTTTATTCTTTAAAACACGTGACTGCTTTTCTGTAAGTCTTGTTTGAAATACTTAGGTAAAAGGTTGTAGATGCTATGCATTCTAGACCATGTGTCTTGTGTAAAATTAGAAGAACTGTAACACTGTAATTATTCACCAATTTCAAGCTACATGTGTGACTATGTTGAATTTGTTTGTCTTCTACGTGGAACGCTCAATTATTTCCCATATAACTGCAGGAATCCATATACAGGAGCATAGAAATGCCATTGTGTGTTTCCCTGCAGCAGTATTTATCTCTTCTTTCTTTCAGACTCTAATGTACCGTTTCTCTTCATTCTCTGTCTTTGTAAAGGGATTTTGTACTTTAATCTCAGAAGTGTTAGAGATTTACTAACCTCATGTCTTATTTTATTCAAGTTTCACTGGATGATGTTTCAGCCTATAAATATAATATTCATAATAATATTGAATGAATAAATGTATTGCATTATACATCTATCTTCTGTGTGTGTCATTTCTGAAGCTGATCAATATCTGACTGTATGAGATGCTGTATCCCATAATGCACTGCACTCTTGACCTTCCGTTTCCAGTGTGACAAATGAACAGAAGTTTTTATCAGATTGACATTTTTCCACAAATTTTTAAAGATGCAGAATAACTTTATTTGATGATGAACTGGTGATGCCATGGTGAAGCGTTCATCATTAGCCAGCTCACAGGGAACATTCTCAGAACATTCTCTTAAAGTTATGAACAAACGTACAGTCATAGAACATTTGTTCAAAGGTCTTTAATATAAAATTCTCAAAACATTAGCACAAAAACGTTATTTATACATCATTCATGGAATGTTCTTTTGAAACATTTTAGTTATATGTTTTTTAACCAACATTTTTAAATGTTACTACTTGTTTCAGAGAACATTTAAAAGTAACATTCCCATAATGTTGGAAAGAATGGAATGTTCCCTTAACGTCTGCATGACCAGGAAAAAAAAAACATTTAAAAAGCTGACCATTCAGAAAGAACATTTTTATAACATGATGAGAAAGTTAGCAAAACATTCTTAGAACATATTTTTGTAAACTGGAATTCCCTTTGTAAGACCCGAAATGATAACTAAACAACAACATATATATACAAAACAATAAACTTTCTAATCTGAAGAGAAGATCTCAAAGAAAACCAAGTATGCATTTCTTTTTATTTTTCAAATGTGTAATTGTGTTACTGTGTTAATGTGTAATTGTGTGCTCATAGAGCACACTGTATGGATGTTTGTGCTACTACATGTGCACACAGACTAGT